GTTACTTAGGACAGATTTGTTCATTCTTCTGGCAGTCCATGGCACTTTCAGTGTTCTTCGCCAGCACCACAACTCAAAACCATCAGCTCTTCTTCGGTCTTCCTTATTCGTTCATGCCCAGCTTTCACATGCATATGAGGTGATTGTCCAGTTCTACTTAAAGCCATTTAATGTTGCTGTCCTAACTAGCATGTCTTCCATGTTCCTTTCCAAAGAGCCCAGTCCCTAGGAGGTGGGAGCAGAGTGTTTACAGTGATGCCTGTGAGAGCCAGAACTCACAAAAGTGCCTTCCTTTCCCCATCTCACATGTTGTCCGCCTTCCAGAGGGCTCTGACTAATGACTTTGTCTCTTGTTTGAGTGGACAGCAGTGGGGCTTTCAGCCTCACGTAGGCTCTAGCATCACACGATTTCCTGTATTCAGGGTTCAGAGCTGCCTTTTCCTCCCTTCCACTGTCTCGGCTGTGATGGAGAAGCAGCAGAAAGCTGGGGCTGAGGAAGGCTGGCTTTCCAGGATGTTCTGCAGCTGTGCAGTGCCCTCTCTGGCCTCAGTGCCATCTGACCGCGGTGCTGAACCAGTCTCTGGTCACTGTGACCAACAGCATACACAGTGGCTCACGCCTCCTCCAGGGGAATTCCTGAGACCCTGGCACCCATATGGCAGTGCTGCAAGGTTGTATGAGCCCTAGGGTCCAGGCTTCAGGTGGACCCGCCACGTCATCACAGTTTGCCAAAATGTCAGGAAGATTCAACTGAGTTGGCTTCTGATTTCCCTGAGCTGAAATCCAGATGATCTGTGAAGGAGTCTCCCCCAAGTGGCCAGCTCCAATCCTTGGTCCAGATTTACTCCTTGTAAAATTGTACAGGGCATTCTTGGGGTGGTTTAGCTGTGGGTGTCATTCTGATAGTAGAGTTTGTCTGATGGTTGAAACTGTCTTCAAGAATAGCTGCTAGGTGGGTACAGAGCACCACCCTATTGGTTAGCAGCTGAGTGCTTTACCAGTGTGCTACCAGGTCTCCAGTAGTAGTAGTAGTGTCATAAATACACATTACTGATGGATTGTAATTGGGACAGCTTCCTCAAGTGGGTGCTATCTGTACACCAAATAAAGAGAGTAAGTCCAACAACACCACCACACACACATCTACACCAAACATCTTTTGGAAAAAGTATGCCTGACACAGTGAGTGAAGACTGTGGACAATGTTGAAGGAACATCTTTCCGTGCTGTAGCTTGTAGAGGTAATAGAAGGCTCCTCACCAGCCGTGCCCAGGCAGAGATGAAAGCACACATTCCGTGCTTACCAAGAAGAGGGAAAATAAGATGCAGGCCCAGCTGACAAAGAAGCACCTACCCCACCGAGGGCTTTCCCCTTGAGCACGTTTGTCTACTATCAGCACAACTCGGCCAGTCCCTTTCTTCCTCTTTGTCCTTTCAGCGGTTCCTTGTCATTATGTGGTTTCCAGCTGTATCTCTGGTAGACACATGTGGACGGACATTATTTTCTGTGATCCGCTTCTACCCGGCAGGGATAAGGCATTTACGAGTGCTGTAGTCACCTCTCCAATCTCATTTGGTTTGAAATGCACTGTGCATCCTAGGTGCTCCTGTTCTGTCTTCTTCCTCCCCTTCCTCTCTTTGGACCAGTGGAGGATTCATTCCTCTTTATTCCCTCCAGGGTCTTGGAAGTTCTGTGTTCTAGTCTCTTCTCTTAGAGTTTTCCTTTAAACGAATAACATGTTGGCTCGGTCTTAACACAATCCATTAAAATCTGCATCCATACGTTGAACTGAGACCCTGCTCTATGTCTGGTCCTCCATTCCCATCTTCTGTGCTACTATGGTTTACATTCTCTAGCTTAAACAGCTCAGAGTAGGCACTGTTGTCATGATTCTTATTGTGGATTAGGAGTTTTCCCTTTTCTTCATCTTCCTGAGTATCAGCCCCCTCCAGGACTCAATGTCATCTTACTAAAGCACTTCCCTTTATGACCCCTCCCGTAAGACACTGGATAACATTCCTGCTCAGTTTGTGTATCCTCTACTCATCTGTCAGGTTGCCGTGCTGTGGTGCCTTGCATATTGCTGTGAGGCTGGGGCTATGCCACAAGTATTTCGAGTACCAGCATGGTCACCCTTGGTGGACAGGATTTAGTAGAGCTTCTAGACTAAGACAAACTGGGCAGAAAGATGGGACCATCCACTTCTGAAAAAAATGGGCAGTAAAAACCTTATGAATAGTAGTGAAACACTGTCTTGTATATTACTGGAAATATTTATGAATAGCCCTGAAACACTCCTTGATACAGTGCCAGAAGATGAGCCCCTCACATCAGAAGGCACTCAGAGTGTGACTGGGGAAGAGCTGCCCCCTTAAAGTAGAGTCAGTGTTAATGCGTGGATGGAATAAAGCTTTCAGGACTTCTATTTGCTGATGTGGCATGACTGAAAATAAGAAGAAACAGCTGCAAACATCCATTAATAATCAGAACATGGAATGTACAAAGTATGAATCTAGGAAAATTGGAAATTGTCAAAAATGAAATGGAATGCATAAAGATTGATATCCCAAGCATTAGTGAGCCGAGATGGACTAGTTTTGGCCATTTTGAATCAGACAATCATATGGTCTACTGTGCCAGGAATGACATATTGAAGAGGAATGGCATAGCATTCATTGTTGCAAAAAATGTTTCAAGATCTATCCTGAACTGCAACGCTGTCAGTGATAGAATAACATCCATACACCTAAAAGGAAGACCAGTTAATAATACTGTTATTAAAATACACACACCAATCGCAAACCTCAAATGAAGAAACTGAACATTTTTAACAACTTCTGCAGTCTGAAGTTCACCAAACATGCAATCAAGATGTGTTGATAATCACTGGTGATTGGAATGCAAAAGTTGGAAACAATAAAGAAGCATGAGTAGTTGGAAAATATGGACTTGGTGATAGAAATGACACCAGAGTTTGCATGATAGAATTTTCCAAGAGCAATGATGTATTCATTGCAAATACCTTTTTTCAACAATATAAATGGTGGCTATACACCTGAACTTTGTCAGATGGAATAT